TGAAGATGTGTAATATGTAATATAGTACCTCAACACATGATCAAACAGCCAAGGAAATGAATAAGGATTTAGAGGATTTGAAATATACAGTTTACCAGTTTCATGTTATGGCCATTTATACAATTCTTCATTCAATGACTAAAGAATATACATTCTGATTCAAGAACACATGAATGATTTATAGAACATGACCACTTAATACACCACAAAGGAATTCTGAATATAAACCAAATCAGTATCTTAGAGAAGGAGTTATTTGACCAACATAAAATTAGAAACCAAATAACAACCACAAAAATCACCTACACATTTAAAAATTTTAAAACCACTTCCAAATAACTGAAGGAGTATAGAAGACACCACAATGGAAATAAAAAGTATCTAGAACTGAAAAATAATGAACATAATATATATCAAACTTATGAGAAGTAGCTAAAGGCATTTTTAGAGGAAAAATCATAGCCTTGAATGCATATTTAATAAAGGAATAAATGTTGACATTAATCTTCCAAGTATTCAACTCAGGTAATTAGAAAAATATCAACCAACAAAACACTAAAACAGCAGGAAGAAAGAGATAATAAAGATAAAAGCAGATTTTTTTCTCTGAATTAAACATTTTGCAAATTACATTTGTAATTAAATCTAAATACCTTTTGGTGTGACATGTCTTATTTTCTGTGAACTTTTATCACTGCTTTATCTTAGCTCGGGGAAATGCATCACTGCAAAATGCCATCCCTTGCTCCATTTCATTAATAATGCTTAACATGTGTACTTCTTTTGCAAAGGGAAGGTTTTATGAAGCAGTTTATTGATCGCCAGCAACAGGACACTTGCTGCCTCTTAGGAAGCCCATCATAGGGGCTCTATCCTCATGACCTCATCTGAACCTAATTGCCTTCCAAAGGCTCCTCTCCTAATATCATCACACTGGGGTTAGGGCTTCAACATATGAATTTTGGGGGGACACAAACATTCAGTCAATAACACACAGCACTGTAGGGAAGAAGCCAAGGTTAGTTGCAGGGCATCACATGTTTCTGGGAACAGGCAAACACCCTCTTCCCTCTACACTAAAGAAAAATATCCAGGGGACTTCCCTGGCGGTCCACTGGTTAAGACTCCATGCTGCCAATGCCGAGGGCCCAGGTTCGATCCCTGGTCAGGGAACTAAGATCCCACATACCGCATCTAAGCCGTGTGCCACAACTAGAGAAGCCCGCAGCCAAAAATAAATAAATTAATTAAAGAAACAGAAAAACATCCAGGAGTGGAATCAAAAATAACAAGAGTGATAAAGGAAAGAGCAGATCCAGATAAAATTGGTAGTGTCAGGGGGGAGTGAAAGCAGAGCCAGGAAATCCCAGAAAGAAAGCTGTGGCATTTGATCCCTGTATTCTAACAGAAGAGGAAGCTCTGAAGTTAGGAGAGAAATATTGGAAGTGCAGGAAAACAAATTTTGCATGAAAATGAGCAACTGAAAATCATCAAAGTCAAGTTCCCTACAAAAGTTACAAGAAAAAGAGAATCAGGGAGGGAATGCTATCCTATAGACAGGTAAAGAATCAAGCATGTATCTTGCCTTCTCCTTATGAATTGAACTACTGAGTAACCAAATAATACATGTGGGGAGGTGCCTCATTATAAAAGTAATCCAACTAATAAATGAAAAAAAATGACAGTTTTACAAACTGGGTGAATCAATCATCTAAGCAACGAATATCAATACTGTTAACATCACAAAAAGAGGGACAACCAGACATGATGCGCATTCAGGTCAAACCTGAGTGTGATGAAACTCAGAATCCAGTTGCCAATTTGCAGAAAGTACAGAGGACAGAAGAACATGGTGAACTATACCATGAATGTACACTTAGCAAAACCAGGCTCCAGGAAGCAATGGGTCAAATGGCCCAGGATCTTCAACTGTAAAGGGGAAAAAAAGAGGAACCTGTAGATTAAAACACCTAAAGGCAGTGCCAGAAAATTGGCTCGACCCGTCCGTTGCTATGCCCTTCAGCTCCAATGTATTCAACCACAGATAACTCTATGCAAAATGATTTGAAGTTCCAGGGTCTTGAATTCCATGTTCAAGTGCACAATTCTGGGACAATCTTGTAAATTAAAATTTTAAGACTTAAAAAAATCACTTATGTTTTGTTTGAACATTTAAATTTAATGTCTTTGTTTTTGATTATTAATTCAGTCACAGAACAGTTATCTTGTGGAGCTGAATGTATCAGGTTTGCAAATATAAAATCACCCAAAGAAAGAGGTTTTTCAACTAATCTTTTATTTTTTTCAATTCAAATGCTATGTAAATATGTCACCCATACCCTTCTTTTTAAGTCCTGCATTTCCGATAGGTTTATATCCAGAATGAACAGTTACACCTTTCATAAGCTGTAATTCCTTAAGTGCTTTGATCATTATTTCAGGTCCTGTCAGTATCTTCTGGAGCCAGAAGAGGGCACTGCAGAGCAGTGTAGCTGGTGCTGTCGGCTGAAAGAACTGCGCGAAGCTTTACTAAAGAAATAGGAGAACTAGTCAGTCACTACAGGCCTTCTTTATTTACCAGCAGAAAGAACAGTTTCTAAATACATATCAAGGCTATCAAATACAGGTAGGTAGGTAGATAGATAGCTATAGATATCTCCTTTCTTCTTTCAAGAATATCCCAAACCTGAATTGAAGTTACTCTATTACGGTGTTTATTCTTCTACTTATTCTGTTGTTAGTTACAAAAGCAGTTTTCAAGGACTCCTTGGTACAGATTAATAGCATATTCTGTTTTACCTGGTTCAAGTTTAGGACAAAGGAGATTTGGAAGCCCTTTAGAAACCATGTGCAGTGCAAGAAGTAATTTGGAAACAATACAACACATGTTGTCCCCAGTGTCCACAAAGGTTTTTCCCAACGTGAAGAACACTGTTTTAAGTGTCAGCTGCCCAATTACAGGGGCAGAAGCCGGGTGATTGAGTTCAGACCATCTCCTTACACTAGGGGAAAGACGGCTAAGGCCTGTCTTTGTCCTTTGAAGATGAAGCAAGTGTAGGATCCACAGTTCTCTCCTGAAACTTGATTTCCCGGGCCCTCTGTAGCCTGGGCCCTTTCATAACTGGTGAGCACTTGCAGCTGAGTCTTCTGTCTCCAAAGTGACTCTAAACAATGTTCCCCAGGAGATGTGCTGTCACCTCGGGGAGGTTCGATCAACACACAAAGTCACTCGTCAGCAGAGGAGAGAAGATGTAAGAAAGTTTCATGATTCGATCATGGTAAACAGCCTTTTGTGTGTTACCCTGAAAATATAATTTCAAAAGGAAAAAAATGACTTCCATTCTAGTTTCCTTATCTACACATTAATTTATTCTCCCAAGAGTTGTAGTGAGTAATGAAACGAGCTCAGTTTTTCATTATTGGAAACAAAAGAGTGTACCACCTCTCCTCACGTGAGGGAAATTGCCAGTGTGTGCAGTGATCCTTCCCTTCATTACAGATTTGCTGTGAAATAGGAAAGTTCTCTTGCTAGTGACGATGCTATGTAGGTTGCCAGCTGTGGTGTGATGACCAGCACTTTCCCAGCTCTGGCAGTATGGCCACATGGGTTCACATTATAGCATTCGTTTATAGGTTTGTTTGCAGATTGGAGCTCTGTGACTTTGTACCTCAAGTTACCCATCTCTTGTTCAAGAGAAACTGGATGGTCTGTTTTTTCTGAATACAGAGTTATTCTGTCTCCTGCTTGATTTTCCTCCCTCAACTTTGTTTGAAAGTGTTTCCTCCATTCTCCTTGCTTAAAGGACCGCCTAGCTCAGCACTTGCACAGGTAGTTTGCACCAAGTTAATCTGCCCTGTGCACATTTCCAGCTTTAGTCCTTCACCCACTGCTTCCTTCGCTTGTAGAAATCTTAACTATCCTTCAAGGCCCAATACGACTTCTTCATCAAGTCTTTGCTAACTATTTGAGACACACCTAGTTCTCCCCGACCCAGAGCCCTGCAGCCCCCCTTATCTTTTCTATGGTGCATAGCACCTAGCATTTTACTAGCTACTGTACCCTGCTTTTTACTGATAATCTCATGACTCTCCAATAGTCACTAAAATCATACTAAGTGCTCAGGAAATCTAGTCTAATCTATTGATCAAAATGAATGGGACATTGTCTAAGTACCTGAGGTCTGCAGCTACACTTCCTAGTTATTGAATCTTCCCAGGCTGGTGTTGTCTCTCTTCTTTCTCTGCCCTTTTCCTGCCCACCCTGGATCCCTGTACACCTGTCACCAATCTTCTGTAACTATCAAGCAGTACAGAGCTGAGTCTGTGGAGTGTATCTTCTGGTTTGTAGCCAGCCTCCAGGATTTTTATTTCTTAGTCCTTTTTCCTGGGTTAATTTCATCGTCGCCAAGGAGGAAGAAACCTTGAAAGTTTGTCTCATTTGTCTCTATGTCTATAGGCAAAACAGTTCTTAAACTCATCATTCAGATTAGTATTGGGTCCCAGAATCAGATGTAATGTGGATTAGACAATATTTTACTAAACGACGGCAATAAGGGTCCAGTAGTCATTGCAACATTAAATTCTTTGGAAACTGAAAACCCTATTCGGATGTAAGGAGACATTACTACCAATGAGCATAGCCAGTGTGTCGCCCCCAAAGCTGTGACACGTGACCTCACAAGCTTGTTTACAGTTCTATTCAAATAAAAGTAAAGATAGAAATTAAAATTAAACGATAGAATCAATCATATGATGAAAAAATTCATGTGTATTGTTTTCATAGTGTTCTGTTTTGTGTGTGTAATGATTTGTCAGTATATTTCCCCTTTACACTCTTTTTTTTATTTTTAACATTTTTATTGGAGTATAATTGCTTTACAGTGGTGTGTTAGTTTCTGCTTTATAACAAAGTGAATCAGCTATACATATACGTATATCCCCATATCTCCTCCCTCTCCCCTTTACATTCTGAAACTAAAGTCACACTCATGATTTTACAGCTTCGCAAGTCTGTCTTCAGCATCAGGGCGAGGAACCTTCTAGAAAAGGAGACCGCGGTCACTAAAATTTTAAGGTAACATCGTTTAACACTGATACATATTTAAATACAAATAGGATTAAGTTAAGCAAAAAGGAGCTTTTTTTAAAATAATGAAGTAATTTTCTGAGTATCAATATATACTTTCTGCTACAGAGTAGGTTTGGGTAACTATGTACTTAAAAATAATGTCAAACACATCATTAATGTCTCTCCTGAAAAAGTAATGTTTTATTAGTGCAATCAGCCGTTTTTTCTCTTTCATGCATTTAAACATAAATTATAAGTATAAACATTTACAGAAAGATGAAAATAACTTTTATTTTTACAGATTTTGTCTTTTGTGATCTCTGAAGGACAAATCACAATCTAAGGGAAATATGGTAAAAGGGAAAGCTTTTTAATTATTAAAAATAAATGTATTTAAAATCTATAAGAATCAAAAGCATATCCATTTTAGAATGCTTATAAAATAAGCATAAGCACATAATTTTAATGCTACTTTCTAAAATCTGCCTTGAAGTATCAGAAAGGAAAATTAAGCTAGCTACTTAAGGGTATTTTATAAGACTATGTTTATAAGACTATGTTTTATAAGACTGTGTTTTATGTTTTATAAGACTATGTTTTAATATAAAGTAACATGATCATTATAAAAATGCATAAGTATTTGGAATATAATTTATTCGTTCCTGTATTACATAGACATGTATAAGAAATACACCTAAATATTGGAGCTGGAGGTGGAATGGCTGACAAGGTTAATAGATAAATTCGTAGTAGGAAGCCCTGTCCAAACTGTGCTAAAGGGAAGGAGTTTGATTCTCTTCTACTCCACCTGAGTTATTAAGAGTAGTCATGGAAGCATTTTGCCAGAATCTCTATCACTATAACTTGGATAACTGGAATGAGGAAATAAGGCTAATAGATATGATTTGAGAAACTATTTTGACTTTGTAACACTACCTGAAATTTGTATGCTAGACACAATCCTAACTCATCGAGACAGGATTCTGTGTATTTATTCTTTATGTTGGCTGACGATTCATGCATACAGTTGAGTGTGTGTTGGAGTCCCTTCTATGAGACGAGAATAAATATTTCTGGGGCTTAGATATTATCACCGAAGAATATGATGAGATGAAACTGAAAGGTCTCATTGAAATAGAGAAAGGAGAGCTTCTAAGCAAATATAACCACCTGTGAACCAACTTCAGTTTGCTTCCAACTGGCTCAATCCTGGCGTTACCATCAGATAACACCACGAGGCTGGCCTCAAACACTACGTGGTCCTCCAGGTTCTTTATCCAGCTGGAATTGTACTAGACACGTTAATGGCACAGTCAGTCCCTAGGGTCTTGAAGACTCTCCCTGCTCATACAAAACAGGTCATGAGCTGGGTGCTGGATTTCTGGTTCACCCCCAGGACCCAGAAACTACCCACGAGGAGATCCTAATATCCAGAGTCTACCTGCCAGATTAGGAATCAAGTGACCTTACTGACCTGCCCAGAATACGTTTCCCGAAGGTGCCCTAGAGGTTCCCAGAGACCTTCAGAGCAGAGGCAGACAGGGACCCTTGGAAGGAGGTGACCCCCATACACCCCCGTTCCTGTGAACTCTTTCTTAAACTTGCCCTTCCACTTTTCCTTTTCCACCACCTTTCCCACCCACCTTCTCCCAGTTTACAAAAGAAAGGTGGTGCTCCCATCCACCCAAAAGAAAGGTGAAGCTCTAGGGTGCACTGGTCTGAGATGTCCAGTCCTCTGGGTGGCCGAACACAGGGGCTGTTCCCACATGGCTTTCCCAGAACGAGGGCCCCATCGGCAGCACGTTATTGTCCATCCAAGCGACAGATTTTTGGAAAACTTCCTTCCAAGACTTCATCTGCCTTAGAGTTAGGCCTTAGCAATACATGGATGTCACAGGGACCTGTGTTAACATGTTATTTGAATTGAAAAATAACGATCAGACTTCTGACAGATTCGCTGATTGGTTTGGCAATAAAAACTCACTTTGTGGGTGTGCAGGGTCATAACATTGAATGGATTGGATGGATGAGACTCCCCGATATTTTCTCAAAGTTATATTAAAGCACATATACAATAATGCTAGAAAATACATCCTTTACTGCTAATTGACATTATGTGTAGAACATTTAGTTGTTGATTTTTAAAAGTACAGAAGTGGTTTTAAAAAGAGAAAATTTATGAGTACCTGAGCAGAAACAACAACAACAACTAAAAAAGAAAAAAAAAAGAGAAGAGAAATTAAAAAGAAAAGGAAAACATTTACAGTCACCTGGGGCCAATGGTTCAAATAGCCCTACACAAATTGGAGAGGAAGGAAGGTTTCCAGCACTCTCCCAGGGTCTCCATGCTCCCACCGACCCTCTCCTCCCCCAGGCCTCCCCCTTCTCTCTGTTAAGGAAGTTCTGCCAGGTGACTTAGAAGCGGAAAGACAAATACTATATGATGTCACTTACACGTGGAATCTAAAAACAAAGTCAAACTGCAAGAAACAGAGAGGAGATTGGGGATTGCCAGAGGCTGGGAGGTAGGAGAGATGAGGGGATGTTGGTCAAAGGATACACGTTTCCAGTTTTAAGTTCTGGAGATCTAATGTCCAGCATGGTGACTGAAGTTAATAATATTGGATTGTATACTTAAAATTTGCTAAGAGAGTAGATCTTGTGTGCTCACCACATACACACACACACACACACACACACCACACACACACACACAGACACACACAAACACACACAAACACAAAAACAGTACAAAAAACAGTAACTGAGGAGATGGACGTGTTAATTAACTTTACTGTGGTACTCATTTCACAATATATATGAATATCAAATTGTGTTGTACACCTTAAATGTACACAATGTTATTTGTCAGTTATACCTCAATAAAGCTTGGGGAGAAGTCACCTCTCCCTTGACCATCTGCATTTTGAAAGGAGGCTTTGAAAGAAGGAAAGAACTTTAAGACCAGGAGGTGCAGACTCGATATCTTAATAGATAGGGCTGCCTTGATACAAAAGGGAGGTCCGGTAGAGACTTGTTTCTGTCACTCTTGATTTTCCTAAGTGTTTTGTTTTCATAGACTTATAGTCTTTAGTTTCATCTAAGAGGTTCCTCCCCAGGGAGGCATGGAAAGAAGACCTGAGCTGGAACATTTGGGCAAGTCCATCACTGGTGGGCATTAGTCACATATTAGTGTCTTAGAAATAACTTTTTAAAAAATAACAAACATTTGGGGAAAATAATGCAAAACACATCCCAGATGTAAGGTATCTGGAGGACTGTTGTATAAACAGGGAAATTATTTAAGTTTAAAGTTTGGAGGAGATGATCTTCAGGGTCCCCCAGGTGTAACACAGGATACTGGACTTAGTGTTAGGAGGCCTGGACCAGCGTCTGGCTCTGCTCTTCTATAACCTTAAGCTACTCACTTATCCAAGCCTCCGTTTTCTCATCTGCCTTTGTGGTGTAGACTGCCCCAAAAGGTCATCTGAATTATCTGTTGGTGAAGCAAAGTGAAATGTTGATACTTATTATGTGAGGGAAGCCACCGTTCAGCAGTCTTAATAATGTCTCAGAAGGGATAGGTCAGGGGTGGATATTCACAAGGTTGGGGGTTTGAGTTTAATTGTTTTTAGTGGGGAGGTCTGGTTGAGATTGGGCAGAATTCTTCAAATAAGAGTTTAGGTCATTTTGCAACATGTATGAATACTGAATCATTATGTTGTATACCTGAAACTAATGTCATATGTCAGTTACACCTCAATTTAAAAAAAAAAAGAGTTTAGGACTCTTCAGGTAACAAGTAACAATAACAAGTAACAAGTACTTGTTATTATTGACAGGTAACCATTACTATTCGGGGGAGGGCAGCACCCAGGGTGGGGGACAGGAAGAGGTGACACACCTTCATCTCTCCACTGCCTTCAATGCTCTTTCCACCCTCTACAGCATGACAGTTCAGTCATCAGCTATTGAGATGGAGTTTGCACTTCTGATTTTCACTTCCCTTCTTGATTTGGGGTGATTCTGAGAAGAGGGAAAATAAATGGTGACTCTGGGCTGCCGTCTGTACTCCAGAAATCTGTTCTATTCTATGCCTTTTGAATTTTTAACCATATATATGTATTACCTTTAAAAAATAAATATAACTAATTTTTAGAAACAGCATTCTTAAAATATTTAGGATTGATGCCTACCTGGGCAGTGTCTTGGCCCAAGTTTTGATGAGAACCAGTTAATCTGACGTAATTGGTTTGTCCAGTTGATGACCTGTTGTCGTCTAGAGAAAGGAAATAGCCCGTTACTCTGTAGCTCGGATGAGTGGATTTTTGGAAAGTTCCTGAAGCTAACAATGAAAGTACTTATGGTTAAGGCCTTAAATTCCTGGACATTCATTTCCTGGAATGAATATTCAAGTCATGTTGATGGAGAGGTCTTGATGCTTAGTATTGATAATTAAGCTGTGGGGGTACCAAGGGTCTCAATTCTCAGGGGACCCACATTTCCAAATATCCATCTTTCATTTGAAACAGGGTCGGCATTATTCCAGCGAAGAGTGTGCTATATACCTCCCTATGAACAGGAAGTTCAAGTCCACAAATGATTTCTACACATAATCATGTTTAATTTGTATTCTACTTATTTTTTGAAATTACTTGTCTGCTTTGAAAATTGAAATGAACTTCTGGATCTATATGGGAACACTTTTGATGAGAAACACAAGTAGGGCATTTTTACAGAACTTGAGAATAGTGTCGCAAGCTTAAATGCAGGTGACTCATTTGGCATTAATGGGCCAGACTTATCTGGAGAGCGTTGTGAGAGAGGATGGCCCACCACCTAAATGATAAAATCCAGGGTTGCTATTAAATTCACTCTTATTTTGACTTCGTCTACACCATTCAGCTCCACTAAAGAAAGCTTCCTTCAAAAGGCAGTGACCTTTACATCACATCAGATGAAATCAAAACAAAGAGCAGTGCGTTTCAAAAGCATCACTCCCTCTACTGAGATTTCTCTAATTTGAGCCCTGAAATTGAACAAAAATACATTATCATTCCTGCTAGGCTGAATACATAGAGAAATGTCAGAATAAAATAATTAAACCTTTTACATTATTTTAGAAAGTGCCATCCTTTTGTAGTTTGCCATCAGCATCTCATTAGCTAGGATGGATCTTTATAACCTTTCTGAATGCTCAGTCTGCTATGATATTTGTATTCTGATATTTGGATCGATGACATAATTTTCCTTGCCACACACTTAATTAATAATTTTTTGAATTTAGTTGAATGCTACTTACTATTAAAAAATTAAATATATATATAATGACATACGTTTGGTGAGTTTTTCTCATCATTTTAAGACAGTCATTTTTATTGATTACAAATACATGTATTTCTGGACTGGAATTTTGTGCCCTTCTTGACACTGACCTACAAAGGGCGTCTCATTCCTGTCCCAGGTCCAGTCACATAGAATATGCTGTGTCAGTGTAGTAGAAATGGAAAGAGGACAGGATTTGCAGCCAGCCACACTTGGCTTTAAGTGCCCTGAGTAGCAGTGACTCTTGGGAAGGCTCAGCTTCTCCATCTGCCAAGTAGGGCTATAGGTGACCTCATAGGAGTTAAGTGAGCATGTGTATCAAGTACTCACTTGGCAGCTCAGGGGCCAAACTGAGTTATAATTCTGGCTCCATCACTTCGTGGATGTTTGACATTGGGCAAGTTACTTAATGTCTCTGCACCTCCGTTTTCTCATCTGTTAAATGGGATCTATAAATTTATAACCCCTGCCTTATAGGAGAGGATTAAACGAGTTGGTATCTGTAGGTGATTTTTCATTATTGGCAATAAGTTAGGGGAGACCCACAGTTGCCCCTGAGAGGCAGGCAATTGACAGTTACCTTTCAAAGCTGATCCTCAAGGGCGTGGTGCAGAATCTCCACTGTTGCCCAGCAGAGACTAGATCTGAGGGGCATAAAATGCTTTTGATACGTCAGTGTACTCTTTTTCCAGGTTGATTCCAAGGTTCTTGCTTACCCAGCTGGAAGCAGTCTATCTGCTGCAGCTTTACACTCAGTTAAGCCTTGCTAGGCTGGCTAACATCTTCGAGGCATCATCAGATCATTTGTTTAAATCATTTGCTGGATGATTATTGGTGGATATAGTCCTGAACTAACAACATAGATTCCTCAGCCAAGGCTGGCATCCCCGATGGCTGGCGGGAAGTCCTGGGCTTGGAGAACTGTGATCGTCATAGGGCCCTAAGGGCAGCTGTCAAGTTCTCCATTCCACTTGGCTGCACCAGGAAATCAAACAGTCCTATCTCAGAAGCGGGAAGCCTACATAGGCTTTGGCAGGAAGCCTAGTCAAACAGGTAGAGATCAGCATCTCGCAGGGACAACCAGCAAAGGGAGAGGTGGGGGGGTCACAGGTGTTGGTCAAGTCAAGCCTGATGGACTTGGCGGCTGGAAGAGTGATGGTGAGTGGGATTTAAATCAAGATCATTGGCTAAGAACAGCTGGTGATCAGGGCAGGGGAGCAGCTGAACAGAAGCTGTAACTGCCGTCATGGGCACCACGGGTAGATCAGTGACTGCTGGGGCTGAGACAAGCATGGCATCATCTTCTGTGTGGGTTGTAATACCTGCCTGGAACCTTCGGTGTGCACATCCCTTTGGCACTCCGTAACTTCGGGGTGGATGAGGGCTTAGCTGGGGGTGGTCCTTCATGGGCTGTAGGCTCAATGAAGGTGTTTCTCTTGGTCCACTGGCCTCTTCGAGGGCCCAGTTCTCCGAGCTCTCTCTCCCCAGGGTCTAGGACAGATGAACTGACATCTGGGCTCTTCTCTGGGATGTGAGCATCTAAGTCATATTCCCCTGGAAGATACAGTGAACCTGATGTTGAAGAGACTGAGGAGATCATAGGAGTTTTCTAGAGGAAGGAATTCAAGTTAAATCCCAAAGATTCCCTCCGAAGGCCACCTGTTCCTGCGCACTTCGTTAGCTGTGTGAGCAGAGGAATTTGAGGAAAGGGGAAAGAGCCTGTTCATTCTTATTCTGTCCTCTCTTGTCTAGACCCAAGCTGCCAGTTCTCTGAAGTGGGCAAATTACCAGGGAGTCTAAGAGCGCTTCACGATGCAGAGCACGGGCCTCTTACCCGCTCTGCTTTTTCCCATGGGGCAAGTTCTCCTTTTCAAATGATTGTTTTGTCCATTAGCGCAGCAATTCAGCAATTTTTGATAAGGTCGTGGGAGTTCTCTGCAGCTCTGCATTCTGGGCACAGCTAGCAAGGCATGCGCAGCATCCGCAGAGCCCGGGGCCAGACTTGCCAACTGCTCAGTGAGATGTGCTCCAGCTGTGGGAGGGGATGCACGGGAAGACCCTGAGGACGAGAAGGAGGCTGAGACTGGGTCAAATTTTTATGACCATTGGCAAGAATAACCTGAAGTTTTAAGAAAAGAGAGTATTGGGCATTAATAGGCCATTATTAATTAACTATTACTACTATCTGATTTATTAAATGTTTATTAATACATTTACTGTATAGATATAAATACATAGGTTATTAGTATGAATATATTACTAGTAAATCATTAAATATTAATCAAATATTTAGTTTAAATATTATTGTAAATATTTATCTGTGACTCTATTAAGGCTGCCTAATTGTTGATTTTCCTTATTAAGATTTTTCCGATACTTAAAAACTCTTGTAGATTGTTTGGAAGACCATTTGGAGATACAGAGACTAAGTAGATGGATGGAAATTAAGTGTATTCAGAGAACAATAAACTGAGGCAATAAGATCTGTGGATACATGCATCTGAATAAAACATAAAACGGTGAAAGTTTCAAGGAGGCGAAATGTAACTTAATTGAAACAAAATAATTATATTCTTTTTTTTTTTGCTTTCAACAACCAAACTTCCTTTCCTTGAACTCTAGAAAAAATTTTATTGAGCTACAATTAACATATAACATATATTAGTTTCAGGTGTGCAGCATAATGATTCCCGGGGATTTGTATATATTATGAAATGACACCACAAAGAAGTCTAGTCAACCTCCGTGACCTTACGTAGTAAAATAATACATTCTAAAGATGTTTTCCTAGGTAGTACCTGATTTGTGGTAATCAAAATATATTTCATTGACATAGTATATGATTTGTAGGTTATTTTTAGGTAAGCCCCCAAAGTGTTTGTAATAGTACTATGGATTAGGAGAGCTGCTATTAAGTTTTACCTAACAAATTCAAGGAGATATTTTGAACAGGTTTTTCTTTTACTATTTTATCATTGAAGGGTAAAGTAGTAAATAATATAGGAGAATACATATCTCTAGAAAAATCGGTTCATACGGTTTATGCAATATTTGGAAAATTTCACTTTTGTTATAATAAAAAGTTCAACCTTTGCATTGTAATTGACATTTTTCTGAGTCCATAGCAGGGTTACTAAATTCGAACCCCAGTGAATGATGTGGGGTTTCAGACATTTGCTGAATTTGGATAGATGCACTAAAGGCATGGATTTCCCATGAGGTCATTTTCTTTTTCACGTATGGTATCTACGTATGATAAGACGTAAGGCTTCTTTCATTTTTCAGTCTACAAGAGGTTCTGGTTGTTGGTGTATTTACATGTCTACGTATGAAAACATTTTCATGAAAAACACAAGATTGGAAGGAACTAATTCACTGTTGCTATTGAAGAGCCGTACTCAGGACTGGGCTGACTCACAAAGGAGCGGGATACTTAACTGGGGTAAAAACGCAGCTATTCCCTCATCGCAGCAAAAGGCCGGTACAGAGGCGCTCACCTATTAGCATCACTGGGTCCCTGCTTTCGAGGATCACGTTGTCACTTACATGGAGGCAGGTAAGAGCCCCTTCCAGGAAACACTCATTATCTCTTCTCTTACCCAGTTCTACAGCCATAGTTTTACATAATTAGCACTAAAGGACTATCTTCCTATTGTCTGTTGATGTGATTACATTATCTTAACCACATCTGATAATACTTGACAAGGTGCAGCTCAAGATTTGAGTAAAATCCTTCAAATTTAGTGTCCTGCAAAGCTACACCGCTGTTCCTTTAGATGGTAATTACGTTTAATACCAGATGGTATCGTCGTGTAATCGAAGTTTTCTATAACGGATGAAAATAATTTGAAGACTCACAGGCCTCTCTGTTTCCTTACAGAAGGTACAGGCTTTTCCCACACCCTCGTTCTGGAACATTAAGAAAGAAAATGTGAAGACGGAGAAGAAAGAAACCGAGGACCCCCTGCTGCTGTTTCTATAAACAACTAGTGGTGTTTAAAGGCCAATAAAGCTCCAAGATCTCTCTTAGAACCATCACCTTTGGGCCAATTTTAAAATATTTTAGATGGAGAAATGTCAAGAAAAATAGAGACAGTTTCTTAAGACATGATTCTCTCCCCTCAACCTCCATAAAAGATTTTATATAAATATATGGCTGTCATATAAGGGGCAATTGAAATTCCACAGCACAAAGGCAATGCAGAGAAGAAAAAAAAAGAGTCAATCTTTCATATGTTTTTTTCAAAGCCTTGGCAAGAAACCAGGGGTAATATTTTTGCAACTGGGAATGTGTGTTTGCTGAAGAATATTCCCACATTTGAATCATCCTCAGGGGTCCTAGGCTTGTTTTACTTTCAAAGGTAGAGAGGGCATCACATTAACCCCAACTGGGAAAAGGAAAATGCCCCACTGTAATTCTCCTCCAGGGAGCAGGGATAAAGGGATTACATATGCCTGCATAATGGAGAATTTCCTCACTCAGACAAGACAAAAGACTTCATTATTTTTCACCAGACACTTGAAGCCTTGTGTCTCCCGGTTCCAGAAGCCAAGAAGGCCGACCAAGTTTGTTTAATTTTAAACCGCTAGATGGAGTTTCTAAGAAACCGGCCTTCCAGGACTGGCCATTATGAAGAGATAAAGAGAAGATATTGAAGACCTTCATGCCACGACTCTTAGGGTCTTTCCCCTAAGACGAGCGAGACCTTCCCTGAAGATCACAGAGTGTGTCTTCGATACCTGAGCTTTGCTTTTTCTCTAGGCAGCAAAGAAATGAACACTTTCTTCCTGAAAACATATTTCTTTGATCCTTATGTGAGACCAAAAGGCATCTAAATCCTCATGAAAAATTTAAAGTGGCAAAATAGAACTTAATTGAACATTCGAGTAATTTTCCTTCTGACTAGGTCTCTTCCTGAGTAGCCTTAACAATGTGTGCATCTCATTTCTTATTGGTGCAGTATGAAAAGTGCCAAATTCCTCAGTTGAAACTGAAATAGTAAATAACTACTTAATAGTTATATAACTATTAAATATTTACTATTTCAGCTTGGCAGTAGATTCCTGTCAGACAAGATGCACAGTGACCCTGTTCCCAGTGACAGATCCAATCTCCTGTTGAAGAAGTTGATTTCAGCTCAGCTTCATGCTGGCTTGCAAGTCTCCCTTAATAGCTCTCTCATAGAATATAGCTAAAGATTTATAAACTTCCTACTTGCAAGAAGCAATGTCTGGTTTTTTGTTACCGTTTCAGGGTCTCATCTATTATAGGTGTGCAGCCTGCTTCTTGAGTGGTGTAGTATTCTAACTTGAGATCAAATTAAGATTATTTTAACTTCTCCCTTCGAAAGCATATTTCAGACACGAAAGCCTATTTCAAAGGCATGTTTCTGCTTTGTGATTATTTCCGTGCTTCCTGAGCGTGAAGGGATCAAAAAAGAAATGAAGACACTCGATCTTCGCAGAAGATGTCAAGGTTCCTTCGTGGAACAGATGTTTCTTGAGCACCTACTGTGTACAAGGTGAAGTAATCAGTGACCAAGCAGAGTGTCTTGGAGCTGTTTGGAGCGCGGCATGGGTGAGGAACTGCAGGACCAGTGACAGCGATGTGGGGGTGAGGCTGGAAGGGCAGGTTGGAAGCGGACCCTACAGGACTTTGCAAGTCAAGCTGAGCTTTTGGTCTTCATCTTTCTCTGAAGAGCAGTAGGATGTTGAAGATTTTAAGGCAGTGATGGTAGCTGTATTCGTTATCTATTGCGATGTTGCAAATACTCTACAACTCAGTGATTTACACAGCACGTGGATAACCTCACAGTTTCAGCCAGGAAGCTGGGCCTGGCTTAGTGGGGTCTCTGACTCTGGGTCCTTCACAAAGCTGCAGGCATTTTGACGGGAATGGGCAGAACGCCCTGCCCAGCTCGTTTGCACGGTTACGGATGAGCTGGTGTGCCTCCTGGGCTGTCGGATGAATGCTTCACTTCCTCAAGGGCTGTTCATGGGAGGGCAGCCTCACCCCTTTAGGAAGGGCGTCCCTCCATAGCACAGCTCCCAACAAGGCAGCCTTCATCCCCAGAGCAAGCCAGAGACTGCGGAAGATGAAAGCACAGTGTCTGGTGACCTCTTCCATCTCTTCTGCCTTATGTTTGTTTAAAGCAAGTCTCCAAGTCCCGCCCACACTAAGGGGCTGCACATGGGCATGGAAACCAGGAGGTGGGGTCATCGGGGGCCATCTGAGAATCACCCGCCGCAATCACACCATGGATGGTCACTTCAGAAATCACTTTGCTTGGGATAATAATATGTTTGTGGAGACCGCTTAAGAGGCTGTGGCTCTGGTCCAGAGTGTACATCGCTGCTGATCGGTCAGAACAGAGAAGACTTCCTTTCCAACACAGATCTGTGTCCAACTTGCTCTTCTGTCCTCCACCCTCTATGGAATGTTTTAACATCAACCGTGACATAGGACAAGAAAAGAAAGTCAATAATAGCAACTAAAATTCAAATCGAGCATTTATGTTTCCAAAACGCTTGCACATTCATAATCCTACTTGATTCCTCCCACTCCCTATGAAGTCAGTAGCAAAGGTATCATTGTCACCACATCTTACACGTGGGGCACGGAGGCTCGGAGAAGGCATGTCACTTGCCTGAGGTCCCACAGATGGGAAAAGCTGAGGTCAGAAGTGCGTGGTTCCAAACCATGTGTTTTCTCAAATCATCTCCGTTTGGCCTCCAGACAGAGGCAGAACTTTCTGTTCGCTTCTGTGCTGCTGGGTGGAGATCTGCAAACCTCTGCGGCTTTGCTACTTTGAACCTGAGACTAGCGAATTCTAAATCCTGCCCCCATGCTCCCCTCACTTCACTCTCTGTACACCCCCATCTCCCCCTTCACGTATCCGTCCTGTCCATCTGTCAGCCCGTTCGCGTGCCGGGAACTGCGCTTCTAGGAATATGGGTTTGAGTGATGAAATGGTCCCTGAGAAATGTACAGTCTAATAAGGGAGGTAACTAATGATGGCCAAATGCCACAAGCATTAAACAAGCTCAGTCAGTAACATGCTGCAGGAACACGGAACATCAGACATAGTCCTGCGCTTTCACATCGGTGAAATATTTATTTCTCACTTGATGTTACTTATCAGAACCCATTTATATCGAAGTTTGTAATTATATGACGCACGTCAAAACGTGATGTGGTACTTCCTAGTTTGGGTTACAGTTGATGCTTGTATGTATAATGAAAGTGTATTTCCTTTTAAAAACAATAAAGCAAGCTTTTCCCATACTTGCGTGTGAACCTTGGCACATTGCATTCGAGAATATGTAGCGTCTTAGTGGCATCTGATTGTGCCAGATTGAAGTGACTTTTCTCCCAAATTTATTATTTTCTTAAATAACAAAATATTTTACATTTATCAGAGAATGTGACAATGGCTTATGTATGAGGCTGTCTTATCTATGCAGAAACCTAACGTTGCATCCTTCCTACACCTGCTTCAAAGCCCAGGTGTCCTCAGGGTGGAAGTACAGTGCACCTGCTTTCCCACACCCTTGCCCCCGCCAGGCCCCTCCTACCCCAGATCCATCTCCTTTTATCTGAGTTTCTTCCTTCATCCATAGGGAACTCGTTTTTGACAACTAGCCTCCTTGTATAATATAATTAGATTTTTCCCTTCTTTTTTTTTTTGCGGTACGCGGGCCTCTCACTGTTGTGGTCTCTCCTGTTGCAGAGCACGGGCTCCAGACGCGCAGGCTCGGCGGCCATGGCTCACGAGCCCAGCCACTCCACAACATGTGGGATCCTCCCAGACCGGGGCACGAACCCGTGTCCCCTGCATCGGCAGGTGGACTCCCAACCACTGCGCCACCAGGGAAGCCCCCATATGTTTTCTTTCAGATGGATTTATGTATCTGTAGAAAAGTTTTCTCTGTACCATTAGCTGTTTTTTTGGGGGGAGGGTGATTATTACGGACAAATAGCTAGTTATTAACTATAATGGATACCTTGCCTAGAAGAAAATTTTGCCTTTTAATTTTAGTAAGATTCTACCACCATACTTAAAAGGGGGGAAGCGTAAACCTTTAAGAGCCTTTCATGAACTGCCTTTCATGTGCCCCCCTCAAAAAAAGATTGCCTTTGCCCAATTTGCTATGAATATGACCCTCAGTTTTCAGCAAAGAAACCCTAGCATTTACCTTTAGAGTTTCCTAGTTTGAAAGACACTGGACATCCTCAAAGGAAAGAACGAGATGTCAGAGCATTTGGTCTGAGGAGAGACTCAGCAAGGGGACTAAATGAATGCTAAATGAAGACAGAAACTGTTGGCCTTGGTTTTGGTACCAGATCTGGGAGTGAGGTGCTGGGATGTGGGTCTGGCACAGGGGGTCAGAGAGTCACATTGAGCCTGAGGCTCCAAAGGGGACCGTTAACACCCCGGCAAGAGGGCCCCACCTGCCTGATTGCACCCTGCTCAGATCACAGGGCACCTTGTTACCACAGGAAAGGAGGAGGTGAGTCGGCAGCCTCTGCTCAGAGAACAAGAAGATTCTGGCAGGGGCCTCTCACCCAGGAAGCGGGAACCACCGAGGCTGATGCTCTGAAGTCACCTGTTACGTATTTCAACTGGCCCAGAGTTAGTGAACATTTTCTTCTTTTTTTCCCATCAGTATCTAGTTTGAAATTGTTCCAGCAAACAGCGCTTATAACGTAGAAGGAAGTGGTAGGAAAAGGATAGTAAGGCAAATGGTTCTATATGTTACATTTAAGTGGATGTCTTAGTCTGATTAAGCACAGGTTTTCTGATTGTAGGATAGAGCTAAAAAGCCAAACCCCATCAACCCCACCCCAGATGAGTGCGAATCACAGGGAACCTGAAGGCTCACCAGTGGACTGCAAACATTCGTGTCACGTGTATGGCTGAAACTCCAGCCCATTTGAGTATAATTTTCTGAATTCTCTAGACCCAACAGAAAAGAGGGAGCTGATCTTGAAGCAAAGAGGAAAAGAGGGGTTGCTTTCTCACCCCAACTTCAGCCACGCTATTGGTGGAGGAGATGGAAGAGGAGGTGTCATAGGGTGGGGGTAGGGGGACTTCCAATATGGGTTTGTCTCCATGGAGACCTGCTTGTCTTGTTCAGTCAGAGGAGGGCGTCTCAGGTGTGGTCCTGACTCTTCTCCAGCAAGGATGCCCAGGCATCCTCAGACTGGGCTTTCGGGCAGACACCAGCAGTTTTTTTTTTTTTTTTAATCACAGGCAGCTTAAAGCCAGTTACATTCTATATACTTCAAGCATAGCAGGGACACCCAACTCAAGTGGGTATTTTATAATCAAGTTGTATGTGTTTTGTATTTAAGACCTATAGGTCTTATGTACTTTTAGGGAAGAGTCTTGTGACAAAAAGTACAAGTTACTAAGTGGTTAAAATTCAAGTCTTTTTTTAAATATTGAAGTACAGTTGATTAAAAATGTGTTAGTTTCTGGTGTACAGTGAAGTGATTCATATTACATATATACATATATATCTGAATCTTTTTCAGATTCTTTTCCATTATACAATAGTTTATTACAAGATAATGAATATAGTACCCTGTGCTATACAGTAGGACCTTGTTGTTTATCTATTTTATATATAGTATTTTGTACTTGCTATACAGGGATAAATTAGGAGTTTGGGATTAGAAGATACAAACTACTATATATAAAATTGAAGGTTAAGTCTTGACTGTTCACACAAATGGCAAGGCTCTGTATATCTATGCCGGAATAACACTGTTCTCCAAATAGATTTTTTTCAGAATGCCTTCATGATTTTCAGACCTTTGTCCAAAAAATAATTCATAATGTACATAATATGAGATCATCCTATACCTTTGTCAACTCAGCTGAACTTACAATTGCATCTTCCTCTTCGACCCCATTGCAGTCCTGGAAATAGCACAGTCTCTATATATCACTGCCATAAACCCTTGTTGTTCAATAAAATTTTGACTTGGATTTTATCTCAAAATGGTCCATGTTGCTCATTAAACTAAGAAGAGTGATTTGGGGGCATTATTTCCTGTCATGCATTTACATTTGTTGCATGTGTATAATTTCTCATAGGTATTCATCGTAATTATCTTCACTGGCATCAAAACCGTTTTTAAGTACTTGAAAATACACATGATATCATAAGAGATGCTGTTTTAAGTATGCTGAACAGACATAGATCTTTTTCTCGAAGATCTTAACTCTGAGACAGACAGTAATAATATAACTCAAAGCCAATCTAGAAATGCAATTTAGGAGACATAAATACGAAAGTGTTACGAATGCAGTGACAGAAGTACATGGGTTCCAGTTTGAACACATATGGTGTCATAAAATTTGCATATCACAAAATCATTGCATTTTAGGTCTATGAGTTTTCTTCAAGATCAAGGCCTTTTCCTCGCTTTATGGAGAATGAAACTGAGCCCAAAGATCCCTCAACTGGTTCGTGACAGTGTCGCCTTGGAACACAGGTCTCTTAACCATGGATTTCTTTTCTTTCCATTTGACTACTACATCAAGGGAATTCCTGTCATTTCCAGTTGGAGAGAGCTTCCTGGAGAAGAAATGTTTTCTCTCCAAATCATTCACACTACAGGTGTTGAGTCACCCAATTGTCTTCACTCATTAGCAAATCTGAAATTAACACAAGCCTGGCTACCGTTTAAAGCGAACATGTTTTAAAAAGTCTTCAGAGCTTTGTGACTACAAATAAAGTGGCAACTGGTTACCTGTAAGCCACAGGCTTTCAGCTGACGTTTCTCTAGGTATTCATTCCAGCTTTAATTACTTGTCTTTTCTATTAGTTTTTTGCCTCTAACTTTACCCTTTCCTAGCGTTCTGCAAAATCTCCTTGGAACATATATTCCATCAGCCCGGGAGCCTAGGTGGACAAATCCTTCCCTAAGGGCTTTTATTAGAAACCTCCCTGTCTAAATTGAAAACCAGCATCATGGGTACCTGTGGTTAGGCTGGCCCTTCGGCTTACAGAATCCCGGTAGAGCCTCTTCTGTTTGGGGTGGGGATGGAATGGGGACACATGGGGAGGGGATTGTTTTCTACTTATTTTCCAGCACCTTTTCGTGGCTATGATCGTTCTGTTTTGAAAGTGTTCTTGACACAGAACCTGAAGCTCATTTACATTATTGGCAATGTGTCATTTGCTGTACTTTGTCTTATCATTGGTGTTTCCTTAAGAATAAGAAGAATAATGAGCAGTTATGCATTATTCATCCCAAGTGTACAAATCAGGCATTTATCTGCGGCTCCTTTTTCTTTTCTAGAGCTTGCACTCGACAGCGCATGCTGAGCGGATCATTTGAGGGGCAGCCAGCGAAGGAAAGGTCAATTCTCAGTGTGCAGCACCATATCCGCCAAGAGCGCAGGTAAATACACCGGAAGACAAGGCTGCAGAGAAACGAAGGAAAGGAGTTTTACAGGAAGCATCACTGACCCCTGGTCAGGAGGCAGGCCCGGGTGAAGAGCTGAGTTCTGTTTGCTAATGGCAACAGTAATAAAACTCACAATGAGATTCAAAGAATCAAAACATCTTTCAAAAACCCTTCCCTTGGTGATGATAGCCAAATTCTCACTTTTAAGATCAGAAGGAAAAATTCTGAATTTTGTTAGATGAGATCAAAGGCAGGTGGATAGACTATAACTTTTGCTATAAAAAGAAATATTAAGCATTTGTGATGCTATCAGGAGTTATTTTATTTCATTTTTATGATGGTCATTGCTTAAAAGTCCAAATTTGGTCTCGAGATGTATTGATCAGTTGGTTGTGATTGTTTTAGGTCACTAAGACACGGATCAAACAGCCAGAGGATCAGCAGGGGGAAGTCTCTTGAAACTCTGACTCAAGATGTAAGTTCTAAGCAATGCTTTGGATTTTGGAAGTGTGATTGTGAAAACGTATTTAAATGGTTGAAATACAGAAAAGTGACCATAAACCGTAGAAAGATCTGGACATCCTGCAAAGCACATGTCTTCGTTTAGATAGTAACACAAAAGTGAAATATCAGACGCATTTGACTGAAATTAAAGACATTTAAAGCATTTTATGGCAATGAATCACATCCGTAACTTTAAATATTTACTAATTTCCAAATACAGGTCCAGTGTCTATCATTTCAGGGTTAACATACTGGGAAATAAAATTTTATTTCTAGAGGAATTTTTCTGTCAAAGACTGCACAAGATTTCCCAAGAATTTCTTTGCTTTTCAACTCTAGGTCATTCATCTATTCATTAACTGACACAGTAAAATATTTATCAACTACTTATGATGTGCCAGGTCCTGTTCTAAGGGATGAAAAGTAGCAGGGAAACAAGACAGAATCCCTGCCCTGTAGGAGCTTACCTTCTAGTGAAAGATACGAACAGTAAGCAAGCAGATAAATACTATCAGTACAATCCTTTCTGGGTATGATTTCGTTTCCATCATCTCTTCATTGCTGTGGCAGGTTTGCTCTGTACTACAAAGAAAAATCACTAGTTCAAAGCGCTTTCCTTCAGTGAGATTCCACAGAAATGTATGGTCTACTTAAGCATCAAATTAGAAAATGGCTTTGAAAATGTGTGTTTAAAAATACGCAACAAAAGGCCCAATTTGAATAGTCTCTATTCCAGAGGCTTAATTCTTCTTTAAAGACTTTTTATTGTATTTTCTACATAGACATATAACGAAAATCCATACCTTGTCTTCTCCATAGCAAAAGGTCACGGGGTTCTGCTAATTTCATAAGAGATCTGTCCTAGTGTCTTTTCCTCCAGAATAGAAGCCATTTAAAATAGGGAGCTTTAGGGCTTCCCTGGTGGCGCAGTGGTTGGGAGTCTGCCTGCCGATGCGGGGGACATGGGTTCGTGCCCTGGTCCGGGAGGATCCCACATGCCGCGGAGCGGCTGGGCCCGTGAGCCATGGCCGCTGAGCCTGCACGTCTGGAGCCTGTGCTCCGCGGCAGGAGAGGCCACAACAGTGAGAGGCCCGCGTACCGCAAAAAAACAAACAAACAAAAAATAAAATAGGGAGCTTTATCTTTGTCACTTATTCCAAATGATAGAAGATACAGATCATTACATCCAAGGAATGCTTTTCTATAAAATCAATCCAGTTAGTTGAACAATCGTTCTCCATCTTCTACGGCAGCGGTCCCCAACCTTTTTGGCACCAGGGACGGATTTCATGGAAGACAGTTTTTCCACGGACGGGGGGTGGTGGTGTGGGGTGTGGTGGGGGATGCTTCAGGCAGTGATGCAGGCAATGGGGAGCCATGGGGAGCGATGGGGAGCCATGGGGAGGGATGGGGAGCCATGGGGAGGGATGGGGAGCCATGGGGAGGGATGGGGAGCCATGGGGAGC